CAAGTGCCCCTCAGTTTTTCTTTGAAATGGTACTTTATTTATGCTAGTTTTGGGGGTGGTCCACTGGTAAATTTCTCAGTGATTCTTAGAAGTTTTATTCCCAGAGTTTAGCTATCAAATTATGTGGGTTTATTCAATTCCCATTTTATTTAGGAGAGTCTCAGGTAGAGTAGGATGTTCCTTATTATCAAATTCTTAATCAAGGTCAGCAAAGTGAGTTTCATGATCCCAAGGTGTTGCCTCACTTCATTCAGTCCTGAACCTACATGCATTTAATTATTGACTTCGCCCAGAGTGGGTGGGCTGGAAGGGTAGGTAGGTACAAAACTGATGCTATGAAATAGCCCAGTGGCCAATAAACATTGGTGATTAGATAATCTCAAGTCTGGAAGTCTAAAGTTAATATTGTTACTACTAAATTTGTGAATTGCCTTTTGCCTTTTCCTAACCCTGGTGATTTTATTTACTTTGGGATGGCAGTTCAGAGATTCTTAGTTTTGGGCTTTATGCTAAGAGTGGGTGCTAGGGCTGTTTTGAATTTTTAATATGGGAGGTGGGTGATGAGGAAATCCAGGACATTGGGTTTGGGGTTAAATTGAACTTTTAGTTCCTTACTCTCTGCCTTTGCCCTAATGACTATTTTTACATTCATTTGTGCAGAGGTTGATTTCAAAAGATAACATATGTAACCATGCAGCTCCTGCTACTTCCTGTTTTGATATTACGGTATGAAAACAAATTAAACTAGCTTAGCCATTACATTATATTTACCGGAAGTCATGGAACTTGGAGCATACTCTTTGAAAGGTGCCCCTTATGCAAATCCATTTTTTTCATATTCCCAGCAGCAGTTTGTGTTAGATAGCCCCTTTGTAAATAGTTGCTGAGGACATGATTATGAGTTGTTTTGCCCTCCCCAGCAGCCCCTGAGGTATCTCCTGTTGGCCTTTAGGGTCGTCAGTACTCAGAAAACAAGTATGTCAGTGCCCTTAGTTGCTAGCATTTATGTACAAGCTGTTTTTCCTTTCTTCAGTCTTCCTCAGTTGGCATGAAAAAAATCAAAAGTGATGGTGCATTCTTTCCATTATAATTCTTTCCAGAACACGTCATTTTAGCAATATTACAGTCCCTAATGGTTGTGTGTGGGTTTTCTGTTATTTTTCTCCTTAATTCAACCTTAATAACCATTGAAACCGTTTTTACATATCCATAGTTCATATACTATCTTGGTTTCTTCTACTGATTCCTTTTCATCTTTTTTACCTCTAAGTTTTGGAGTGCTCAAGGATCAGTCTTCGGTTGTCTGCTCCTTCCTGTCCCGTTTTCTAAGACAGTGATTTCATCCAGTCTCATGGCTTTAAATACCTTCTGCATGCTAATGGCTCCCAATTCTATCTCTGGTCAAGACCTGTCCCCTGACCTCCAGAACTGTATATCCTTCTAGCTGCCTACTTGACATGTCTAATAGGCATCCCTAACTTAATATTGTCTCTAACTGAGCTTCTGATGGTCTCCCACAAACCAACTTCTCCTATAGCCTTCCCTATCTCAGTTAATGCTAGCTCCATTCTTCTGGTGGCTTGGGCCAGAAACCTTGGTGCCATTCTTGACTCTTCTCTTTGTCTTACACCCAACATCTGATCTGTCAGCAAATCCTATTAGCTCTGTCTCCCAAAATATATCCACATTTGACCAGTTATCACCATTGCTTTTGCCACCATCCTGGTCCATGCCACCATCTTTTGCCTGATTTATTGAAGTTACTTCCTAACTGGTCTCCCTCCTTCTGCTTTACTTCTCTATAGTCTGTTCTTAGCAAGTTGCCAGAGTAACATTGTTAAAACTTCCCTTAGTTCTTACAATTGTTCTGTTGAAAACCTTCTAATAGTTTCCCATCTTACTCAGAAAAAAGCTAAAGGCCTTAACTGTTACCTGTAAGAACCTGTGTGATCTGATCCTCCATTACCTCTCCACTCTCATTTCCTATAGTTCTCTTCCTTGTTTACTCTTTTCCAGCCACATGGCCTCTTGGCCATTCCTTGAATATGCCTTTCCTTCAGAGCCCTTTTACTTGCTGTTCACACTACATAGAATTCTATTCCTGCTAGTATCAGCAAACCTAGCTTTCTCACTTCCTTTGGATTTTTACTCCCTGAAACCTTCCCTGGCCAACTTACTTGCTTTCCTGTTTCCTGCACTGGAATGTAAGCTTCATGAGGGTGGAGATTTTGTCTTGTTTTGTGTACTACAGAATTCTTAGCACCTAGAAGTAGTCGCTGGCATGTAGTAGATGCTCACACGTCTAAAAATTAATAAATGAATGGGTAAATGATCCTGATTGTCATAATACCTCTTAAAAAAGAAGATAGTAAGCTAACATAGCTCTACTACATACAAAGTTATGTTGAAGGAAAAAGAAGGATGGAAGGATTGAAAGAAGGCCTGATGGAAAGTAAGAAGGATTTGGAAAATAATTTTAAATTTCTTAAAATGTAGAGCGATCCTATAAATGTATGAATAGCAGTACTCTTTTATTTAAATAACTATTTATTATTTTTCCATGGAGGCCACAAAAATTAGTTACTCCCATCAGTAGGAAACAGATCTGAACATCAGGCTGCAGTGTGAACCAGGAGATAAAAGTTCTGCTCTGGGTTAAGAACTGTGGACTTAGATGTCACTGAGTCATTGTGTTATTTAAGAAGGGTAACAGTGTGTCTTGGTTTTCCAGGAATAGTCTTGATTTAACTCTCTTGTTAATTATTAATAGGGTGGGTTTTTAATTCTCTCAAGGGTCTGAGTCTGATAAGTTTTAAGGGCACCCTATAATTAAGGTGCTTGCCCCTGGCTAGTGATTGTAGCAGATATTGAAATTTGTGCATCGTAAGAAAGTGTGACTTCCCCAGGGCACCTGAGTGGCACAGTCTGTTAAGTGTCTGCCTTTGGCTCGGGTCATGATCTCAGGGTGCTGGGATAGAGCCCTTTGTCCGGCTCCCTGCTCCACAGGGTGTCTGCTTTCCCTCTCACTCTGCCTGCCGCTCCCCTCCACTCATGTGCATGTGCTCGCTCTCTCTCTCCCCATAAATAAATAAAATCTTGAAAAAAAAAGAGAGTGTGACTTCCCAAACCCCTGTTCTGGTGATTAGTTGCTTTAAGAGGACACCTTTCAGGGTTGCACTAGTAAAACCTTGATTATCTGGCACATAACTGGAACCCTTAAGAAAATGATAATTTTCGGGCGCCTGGGTGGCTCAGTTGGTTAAGCGACTGCCTTCGGCTCAGGTCATGATCCTGGAGTCCTGGGATCGAGTCCTGCATCGGGCTCCCTGCTCGGCAGGGAGTCTGCTTCTCCCTCTCCCACTCCCCGTTTGTGTTCCCTCTCTCGCTGTGTCTTTCTCTGTCAAATAAATAAATAAAATCTTTAAAAAAAAAAAGAAAATGATAATTTTCCATAATTTTTCTATGCCAGTATAAGTACTTGTAGAAAAGTTTACATAAATTATATTATGCTATATGTATTATTCTACAACTTAATGTTCTGTGTTATTGTATATAGATGTACTTCATTATTTCAACTTAATTTCTGTTTTGCAATTTTCAAAAAATCGGTATCAAAAAACAATGTATAGGAGAGTTGCCTGTATGAAACCATAAGATAAGCAAAAAAGAATGCTTTCAATATCTTAATCACAAGTAAAGAGCATAAGATACGTGTCTTACCATTTATGGTGTAGAAATCCTTACATTGGATTTCCATATTAGCAAAAAAGTAGATAAAAGACCAAATTGCCAAAATCTGGTCTTAAGGGAATTTTTGAAGAGAACTCATTACCATAAACACATGTACTCTCTGTGGATAAGGAAATGCAAAGAAGCAAAAAGAAAAATTCTCCCTGGTGAAATCATTCAAAGTCAATCACTGCTAACAATGCATTTCATTTCTCTTTTTATATATTTCATAAGTTTTGTTAGCTTGTGTATTTTTACATGGCTTTAATCATACTGTATATATAAATTTGCATCCTGCATCTGCCCCTCCCTGATTAATATTTAATATTTTGGTATTAAGATAGTTAGTATTTTAGCTGTTTTTCTATATGCTTTAGACTAGATTTCCAGAAGAGGAATTACTAGATCAAAAGCTATGACTATTTAAAAATTTTTTTTATATATATTGCCACACTGCTTTTCATAAGTATTGTACCAGTTAATACTTTAACAGGTTGGGTCTGATGTTGCTTATTTCATCACACCTGTGCTTGGGTTGGGCCTTAATGATTTTTAAAATATTTGTGATTGCAAAAACAAAAGTTACTCACTGTTTTAATTTGCACTTCTTAACATTTTTGTGACATACATTTTCTATAAACATTATTAATCGTATCCTATTGTATATTAAAACATGATTTTGCAGCTTAAGAGACCTCCATTTAGGGGGGAACATCCCCTTATAAATAAAACTTAAATAGAGCATGTTCAAAAGACAATTATTAGTTTGCTTTTGTGTTTTTTTAAAGATTTTATTTTTTATTTATTTGAGAGAGAGCAAACATGAGGTGGGAGGAGGGGCAGATGAAGAGGGAGAAGCAGGCTCCCCCCTGAGCAGGGAGCCCGATGTGGGGCTCGATCCCAGGCCCCTGGGATCATGACCAGAGCCGAAGGCAGACACTTAACTGAGCCACCCAGACACCCCAAGACAATTACTAATTTTTAATTAAGGATGAATTATCCAGGTTACCATATTGAAATTAACCTCAAGAGTGGCAAAAAACCTTTCCAAAATGCTTATTTAGTAGAAAACAATTTTCACAGTGGGGAAATATGGCTTCTTATTAAGAAAAATTTAAATATTTATCTTGGATATATCTAACATTATATTAGGTTTCATTGATTTCATTGAGTACTAATGAACAACAAACTAATCATAGAAATTTGATATTTCTTTCAGGAACAGTTAATATTTAATAAAATAATATCTTAAATATTTTCTTCTTTTCAAGGTATCATAGACGTCGTAGGAAACTGGATCCTCCAAAAGACAGATGATACTGAGGTTTTCAGGAATTAAAAAGATGTTATCTTGTGTCTCATTTGCCATTTGAGAAAATGCAATTGAGTATATTTACTAATATGTTATATAGCAAAATAATAAAATGTCTTCATGTATTAGCATGTATATTTCTTTATATAAATTAGGGAATTGTGGATTTGACATTCTTACTTACAGAAACCTACTTCATCTTACTTTGCTTTTGAGATATTAAGATCTACCATTTATTTTTATGTGTGTAGTGTGATTATTTTTACATTATCAGCCAAATATTGTTAGTATTAATAGAAATATGCATGGCTCTCCTTCTCAAGGAGATTTTTAAATTGCTTTTGAAAAGAAACTCATGAGGTCCACCCAGAAAATAAACGTTACAATTCTTTCTTGTGGCTTCTAGGAAATAATTAAATTACGGTTGACCCTTGAACAACTCCAGTTTGAATCGTGTGGGTCCATTTATACACAGATTTTTTTTTTAATAAATATAGTCCAGTACTGTGAATGTATTTTCTCTTTCTTATGATTTTCTTAGTAACATTTTCTTCTCCCTAGCTTTATTGTAAGAATACAATATAAAATACATATAACATGTAAAATATATGTTAACTGACTATGTTATTAGTAAGGCTACCAGTCAACAGTAGGCCATTAGTAATTAAGTTTTGGGGGAGTCAAAGTTATAGATGGACTTTTGACTGCATGGCAGGTTGGTATCTCTAACTCCCTTGTTGATCAAGGGTCAGCTGTAGGTACATTTTAATTAGTTCCGTCTGCTGGGTCCTTTATATACATCATTATTAAATTCTCACAATAATCCTTTAAAGATAGAGCATCATCCCCATTTTATGGGTAGGGCCAAGTGACTTGAACCCTATCTACTTAGCAAGTGGGAGAGCCAAAATCCAAATGGTCAGGCCCCAAAGCTTTTTTACAGTACATTACAGTGACAAAGGGGTATTCTCTTTCACCCAAAAATGTACTTTCCTAGAAAGAAAGTACATTTTGCTTACAAATTATATAATTTGTTTTGAGATTTTTTTTTTACTGGCTCTTTAAAAAATTATGCTAGCTTCAGAACACATGCAGCTCTGGTTAAAATGTTAATATCACTAAACTAGTGTTATGAGAACGTTAATAGATTATTCTGCTGTTGATTGTCACTACCACTTTATATGTGATCCTTGATGGCATTACTGCCCCTGTGATTTCTATTTAGGAGGTGAGGAATCTCTTAAGAAGGTGGAGAAATGTTTTATTCAAACTTGTAAAATATTTGTGGTATTTTAAAATTTGATGTGAAAGATGATTTCAGTGAAGGGAAATTGAAATGAAATTCACTGAAATGAAACTTCATTAAAGTCTGTTGTTGAATCTAGTTCTTTTAATAAAGGAACTCTAGCTGAAGGTTTTTTAGTAGAATCTATGGAATAATAAATAGGGAAGAGTAAGGGCAATAATTAATAATGGCCACCCTCTGTGATCAAAACGAAATGTCTTTTAGTGGCTTACTTTTTCATTAATATATTGGGGGGGAAAGATTAAAGAAAAACAAGTTGATAGAACTTAGTAATCAGAAAGTTTTACCAGACATGTTTAATGACATTGAAAAATGGTTAAATTTTTTTCAGGTTGATTTATATCCAAATTTTTATAAAGATTTAGATATGCCACATTTTAAAAGTAGGGAGAATAAAGAATTGAATTAAATAAAAAATTTTTTTCTAAGTACAAAGATGAACTAAATGGAGATTGTTCAACTGTAAGATTCTTAAACCACACATCCGCATGCCAAAGCTTTGGAGAATTAACTTCAATCTTATTGTATTAGAAATACAGATCAATACTGTAGTTGCTGGAATTTTGGTTTTCATGGATTGCTGTTATTTAGTTTTGCTAAGTAAGTACATATTCTATCACCACCATCACCTCCTTTCTGCTCCTTCCATTCCCTACTACCCCAGGGGTACTTATCTGCTATCACTAACATTTTATTAAATGTCCACTTTTTTGTCTCCTTTTTCCCTGAAACTTAAAAACTACATAAGGTGGGACGGTCCTTTAAATGGAATTAATTTAGCTTCATGAAAAATTCACTACCCAGTTTTTTTTTTTTTAACTACCCAGTTCTCATGTGTCCATTGGTGAGGTGGATCAACAGGTTAGGCTGATAAAAAGCACTATCAGTGAAACCACCAGAGGGCACTCTCACATAGTGTTCAATTCAAACGTTGCTCACCCAAAGGTAGTAACTTAAAGTGCTTAATTACCAAAGAATATTTGGATGTTCTTTAGGTAAGAATGACTAGTAGAATAAATGGCAGTAGTGAACTCATTATTTATTCTGTTGATCTAGTTGTAAAGCATTTACCAAACCCGTAAAACATACGAAGAGGCATTATACTTTTTGCTAGCCCAATAGCAAAAAAATGGTCCCTTCTAAGGATGATTGTGTCTACTTCACTAGGATCTACTGAGGTACTTAATTTTTATAATGATTTTTTTTAACCATGAACATAATGCATTATTATTTTTTAATTAAAAAATAGATAAATAGAAAATAGAAATTACCCATAATTGTCCCTTGTAAAGATAACACTAAAATTTTTGCTTTCCTTCTTCCATTTTACTTCACTGCATAACTATATTTCAGAAAATAAAAGTAGTATTAATTATGCATGCTATTTTATAACTTGCTTTTTTTCATTTAATATAATTGATTTTTTTGCCATATCATTAAATACTCTCATGTAACAAATGCATAGTATTGTATAATCTGATTGTTATAATTAACTCCCTACTTTTAGACATAATCATTTTTTCTGTTTGTCCCCTATTATAAATAATGCTGTTATTAACATCCTGCTGGATACTTTTCCTTTTTTCTAAGAGTCTTTATTTTTAGGGGCACCTGAATGGTGCAGTTGGTTAAATGTCTGACTTGCTTTCAGCTCAGGTCATAATCTCAGGGTCTGTGCTCAGTGCAGACTCTCTCCCTCTCCTTCTGCCCGCCCCCCCCAAACAAATACATCTTAAAAAAAAAAAGTAAAAGACTTTATTTTTTAGAACAGTTTTAGGTTCACAGCAAAATTAAATGGAAGGTACAGATATTTCCCATATCCCCACACATGCATAGCTTCCCCCTTATCAATATCACCCACCAGGATAATACATTCGTTACAGTTGATGTACCTATATTGACACATCATCACCCAGAGTTCATAGTTCACATTAGGGTTCACTCTTGGTGTTGTGCATTCTTTGGGTTTTGACAAATACAGAATGGCATATATCTACCATTACAGTATCTATAGCATAGTTTCATTGCCTTAAAAACCCCTAAAACTGGTGTCTGCCTATTCATTTTCTTTTCCTTCCTAATTCCAGATCAGAGGTTCCTGATCTTTCTTGTCTTCATAGTTTTGCCTTTTCCATAATGTTATATGTTAGAATCATACAGAATGTAGCATTTTTAGATTGGTTTCTTTCACTTACTAATATGTCTTTTCATATCTTGATAGCTAATTTCTTTTTAGTGCTGAAAAATATTCCATTGTCTGGATATACCACACTTTATCCATTCACCTACTGAAGGGTATATATTCATATATTGAAGGGTATATTGGTTCCTCCCAAATTTGGGAATTGTAAATAAAGCTGCTATAAACATCTGTGCACAGGTATGTGGACATAAGTTTTCAGCTCCTTTGAGTAAATGCCAAGGAGCATGATTACTGGATTGTAAGGTAAGAATATGTTTAGTTTTGTAAGAAACTGCCCAGGTTGCTTCCAAAATGGCTGGAGCATTCTACATTCCCTCCAACAGTGAATAAGAGTTTCCATTGCTCCATATCTTCACCAGCATTTGGTGATGTCAGTGTTTTTAGATGTTGGCCATTCTAATAGGTGTGTAGTGGTATCTTAGTTGTTTTAATTTGCGTTTCTTTGATATATTGCCTGTAGAGCATCTTTTCATATGCTTATTTGCCATCTGTATATCTTCTTTGGTGAAGTGTCTGTTGTTAAGGTCTTTGGTCCATTTTTTAATTGGGTTAGTTGTTTTCTTATTGTTGAGTTTTAAGAGTCTTTTTGTATATTTTATATATCAGTCTTTTATTAGATAGGTGTCTTACATATATTTTCTCCCACTCTGTGGCTTGCCTTTTCATTCTCTTCACAGTGTCTTTTCACAGAGAAGAAATTTTTAATTTTCCTTAAGTCTAGTTTATCAGTTTTTTCTTTCATGGATCATGCCTTTGATATTGTATCTAAAAAGTTATCACCAAACCCAAGATCATCTAAATTTTCTCCTATGTTCTGAAAGTTTTATATTTTATAGTTTTGCATTTTACATTTAGGTCTGTGATCTTTGTGTGTGTGTGTGTGTGTGTGTGGTCCATTTTGAGTTAATTTTTAGGAAGGATATAAGGTCTGTGCCTAGATTCTTTTTTTTTGCACGTGGATGTGTGGTTGTTCCAGCTCCATTTGTTGAAAAGACTATCTTTGCTTCATTGTATTGCATTTACTCCTTCATCAAAAATACGTTGACTATTTTTGTGTGGCTCTATTTTTTAGGCTCCCCTGTTCTATTCTTTTGAAATATTTTGTCTATTAGTTCACTAGTACCACAATCTCTTGAAAATTGTAGCTTTATTATTTTTTTTTTATTT